CAGCCAATTTGTTCCCAAAGCCAGTTCGTATCCGGTCAGGATCGTAGACTGGAGATCCCAGGGGGTAGAACTCGGTTTCCTGGAAACGGAAAATGGCCCTAGGAGCTAAAGACAGGTTCCCAGAGAACAAACAGCTCCTAGGATTGCTTTTGGCGTTTCCAGGATCAATGTAATAGTTCCCAGAGTCAGATTAGTGGGTCTGGGAGCCGTTGCACTACTAGGGCAGCATCTCTGAATCCTAGAATCAATATTCTGCCTCCCAAGGTGGATTGTTAACTTACAAAAACTTTTCAACAAACCTACGCACAAATCTGAGACATATAACCACTCCCAGAAGGCTTAGCCATAGCCCCAGGAACCACACTTGAGTTTCCATGAATTGATAAGAATGTCCAAAGGAACGTGACTTTGGTTCCCCGAGGTGGAGGTACAAGACCCCAGAAGCTACATCAGGTTTCCTGGGGGCTACATGGCTCCTGGAAGCTGCTTCTTTGCCCCCAGAAACCGCACTAAAGTCTCCAGGAGCAAGAGAGCCCCCAGGGTCAAGACCTGTGTTCCCAGTGCGGATAAGTTCATCTCTAGGAACGAGACTGATTCCTTGATAGTGACAATGGAAAGCCTTACAAGCCACGAACAAATTGCGTGTTGATAATACCAGCGTCACACCATGGTCTACAGTCTTTTAGTGCTTACATGTGGTATCAATGATATGGAGGATTGGACCGGTAAGCATTCTAGATTATTATCAAGGTGACACTAGGAAACCAAATTTATTTCAGAGTACCAATTTCCATTCTTATCGAGCATGGGCACAGATTACCGTCAAAAGATCCTGCGGGTTACCTCGCTATCAGTGAATACCGTCTGACAAACCACTCTACCTCTAGACTCTCACCGCCCGTGCAACAACCCTGACCTACCAATAGCGTAAACCGAGCAGAAGATTACATTCAAGTCTGCACATTGGAAGGTGGATAAACGTACAAGCGAACTACAATGGAGAAGTAACAAGACGAACGCGATAGAAATATTATCGACCGCATTTATAACTATATTCAGGGGAGATACGAGTAAACTACATAATTCGTTAGAGCCCCGTGTTGTGACATGAGGCTGGTGCAGATCAGGAACCAAGCCGCACCGTCGGAATTACCTCCGAAGTGTCTATACGGACGACCAAGTTGATTGGAAATCAACTTGGCTCATTGTTGTATATATAGGCACATGTATCCCTCTGAAATAACAACTCAATCAATATCTCTGAACTACAACACCCCGAACTTCTTCACTATACATGGCACGGAATATATGGCGAGCTGTAGCTTAAAGTATGACATTTTTCCGTTCATCGCATAGTCTGCCTTCCGCAAGAGAATGTGGTGCAAGTAGAGCCAATTTGAGAAGAGTTGTATGGTGCCGGACGCTGAAAGAATGAAATCCAACAAAGCAAGAACAGCCTGTGTATGGTTCAAGGCCAAGTGCAAAAGTTGCCTTGCTCATTCAAGTGACCTTCAAGGTAGAGCGCAATTCTACAGTTGGAAGCTGCTTCAATCGCCCTTCTCACATCACTAGCACATTTTGCACGAGTGTCTCTGTAGAGACGCTTGACTACCTGTTCGTGTCCATTCCGAGCTGCTTTGCATAACGCTGTGTCCCCAAATTTATCGGTAGCGGTAACATTCAGTCCACTTTCTTCCAGCAAGAGATTGATGATAGCCAAATGACCATGGTAAGCGGCCAAGGAAAGTGCCGTGTCTCCCATATAAGTTTTCAGATTGATGTCGGGTGGTGTTGTGTGTTCAAGCAGTAGCATTGTAATTTCCGGGTGGCCCATCTCAGAGGCAACACAGAGAGGCGAGCTGTTCCAAAACTGCTGATTGATGTCGATGGTATCAGAGGAAAGCAATCGGCGTACAACTTCCAGATGACCTTTTTTGGCAGCATGAAATAGTGGAGGGGCCTGTTGCACATTCACTTGTATATCTTGTCTTGCGATTAAGAGTTCCACCATGCGTACATCACCGTTGGAAGCAGCGTAGGTGAGAGGAGCCCATCCATGGTCATCACGAACGTTGGGATCGATATTTTCAGTGCCGAGAAGGACACATGCGACCGGTATGTTGCCCGTTCTCGCTGCATGATGAAGAGCTGTCCTGCTAGTTTGACCGGCCAGGTTGACGTCCACATGATCTTCTGCTAGAATCTGTAGAGCTATAGCTGTGTGTTCTGCGTCGGCAGCCAAGCAGAGTGCTGTTGCTCCATTCAAATCTAGGGCATTGATATCCACAGCATCATAGGCTAAAAGAAGCCTTGTGATCGATTTCTTGCCATATTCTGCTGCGATGTGGAAGGCAGTCCGACCGTATATGTCTCTTGCGTTGGAATCTAAGCCGCATTTGGCCAGCAGACACTTGGCTACCGACGTGCATCCATACTCTGCTGCGATATGGAGAGCGGTGCAGGAGTGCCTGTCCGTTGCATTAACGGAGATCTCTTCATAGGCGAGCAATTGTTGGACTATCCCGCTATCGCTATTTTCTGTGGCTTGGTGCAACAGGGTCCGGCCATCTCTATTTCTAGAATTGAGATCTGCGCCATGGGCAACCAGTAGCGCGACAAAATCTTGAAGGCTTGCCTGTACCGCCTGGCAGAGCAGACGGTTTCTGATAGTGACATTCTCCAGCAGGGTCATTCGTAAATTTGGATCCGAATGGAGAAGTGACAGTCGAGTAATTCTCGGGGCTTTCTTGACAACAGCAAGCCTGAATGGTGAAAATTGTTTGTAATCTGGTGTTCGTATATCACTGCCCCTTTCCAGAAGAACTTGCACCAGGTTCTCATCGCAGCGAGTGATGGCGTACCAAATAGCAGACCGTTTCTTGACATCCCCTTTATTCAGACTTGGATCAAAATCGAGTAAAAGTGATGTAGTAGACAGCAAATTCTTTTCAATGGCGTATATCAGTGGAGTCTGTCTGCGGTGGTCTTGCCAATTGATATTCGCTCTCTGTTCAAACAGAAGCGTGCGAATCATTGTTTCGTTCTTGGTGAGAATTGCATAAAAGATTGGTGTGCGACATTTATTGTCTGTGGTATTGGCGTCCGCTCGATAGCTGTGCAACATCATTTCCACAAATTCCGACTTGCCTTGGAGAACACCCCAGAACAAGGCAGAGCTGCGTTGGCGTCGGACGTTGAACTTGAACAAATAGTCGAGCAAAAGAGCATTTGCTGCTCGATTGAGGCAAGCCAGCATAAGCAAATCTCTCGCTTGATCTAGCTTGTCTGCTATGCAAAGAATAATCTCAGGAGGGAGATCGAGGAGAGGCATCTTTAGGTTACGTTAATATCAACTCACGTATCAAGTCGTGCAGTATCAGGGGCCGGGTATATTCACATTGGGGTAATGGGCTAAAAGGAGCGGGAGTACGATTTGTTTCGTGTGGAGTTGGTCTGGTGGGTGACTTGAATGAAATGCTAGGAGATGAAAGAGAATTCTTTCCCACCTTGTATGTATATGTATTCGGAGCCCGGACGCAGGGTGACATTAGTTCCCACGTCGTACGAAGTTTCGCGAAAACCCCAGGAACGGCTTAGGTTCCTGGGAAACGGGAGCTGTTTACCCGTCCCCTTACTATGTGAACTTCTCGCCACGGATCAAGCTTAGGTAGTGACCAGCTTGACAATTAAATTGTCCCTACTAGCCGAGAGATGGCAAAGCCGAGACTTCCGGACGTGGAAGCCTGGTTCCTAGGCTCAAGAATAAGCTTCTAGGGATCGCTTCCTTGCGGTCAAAAGATTCACTAGCTTTCGGGTGAAACTCCCAGGGTCAAGACTTGTGTTCCTAGCACTGATGGAATTGTCAGCAGGAACGTGACCGGTTCATTGCTAGTGATGATGGAGCGGTAAGTACGATCTCCCCGGGTTACTCTATTCCGTGAGACACTGTTTTGTATTCTTTGAAAACATAACGTTTGATGGGTTTTTACACAGCAGGTTATCGAATCCCCGGTCTGGGAAAATTAGTGCGATCTCTTGTGAGTGGCTAAGTAGACCAACTTCTAGAATCTCCCCGAACTCCCAGGGTCGGCTGCCTTTCTATACAATTGCATCAGATAGTCTGGGATTGTATTGGTTGCTACCTATATCATATGAGTGCATTGTATGGAAGAGCATTGGACCTGCAGAAGTCGGTAAAGGTCTCCCATAGTGGCGTCATATATGAGAGACCCTCGAAGTCTTCTTTTATGACGCTGGTGGCTCGAGGGAGCACAGCCTTTCGAAATTCCGAAACAGCCAAAGTTCAATGTCCTCAAAAATCAGCGCTTTCAGTCTTACGCTAAAATAAGGATCATAGAGTAGATAATGCTGGTGTAACAGGGTAACATACTTGACCACAGTTCTAGCCATCGATATGCTTCATGCATGGTTTTGCAGGGTTTTTACCCCTCAACATTTCACCATGTATACGAAACCCTCAACTTTAATTCACGACAAGAAAGAAAAAGACTAGGACATGTTATCGTATTTGGGAAAAGTGGTGAGGTGAGAGTTCGTGAAGTGTTGAAAAGAAGTTCCTCAAAAATCGGGAGCTTTCGTTCCAGAATTGATTACCCACATTTTCTAGCCCCAGATGCGGTACATGTAAGATATATTGGTCATTTACCGAGCCTGAGCTGACGTTGATTGGATTGGTACAGTTTGAGCTGAGGTTTCGGCCTCAATAAACGACTATGCCTGCAAATTGATGGTCTCCGATGCACCTCAACTTTGGTCAGACAACTAACACTAATATTTCGACATTTGCCTCTCCCACGAGCAATTCAAAGTCTCCAGGATATCCCAATAGAAATTTATAAAAGCCACTGCTTCCGTCATACTTTTGCTTGACTTCATGCAAACGAGATAACGTCTCAGATACGTGAGCCAAGAACAAATAGCGCACACGACAGAGCAAAAAATATCTTTAAACTTCCCAGGATCGCTGGACGATAAAGAAAATGCGTTTCTCTCTCATTGTTATGCTCGCGAGTGCATATGCACGAATTTCCCTCGGTGGCACTCTTGAGATCATTGATGTTGACAATCAATGCGCGATATGGTCCTATGACAACCATGGCTGCACAGGGTCTTCCGCATTCTTCAGTCGACTTGATGGAGATGACTGTTCAAGTAACTTACGGCCTAGCATGCAAATCAAGAAAATTAGGCTAACGGATTTGTAGGGTTGGACAAAGTCGCCAACAGCACCCATCCAGGTTACCCTATGCGTGGCGCGGAGGCTTGCGGCACGGAAAACAATTCATCGGCTGCATGGGTTAAGGTCGAAAAAACTGGGGTGATCACCTTCTACAATTTTCAAGGAGACAGCTCGACATGTACATTGGACAATAGACTCAAGCATGGCAGCCGCTGCACCGCCTCGGACTTGATACACTCTACCAAGTCGTCATCCACCGAGTCGTTTTCCACCAAGTCGTGTTCCACTAAGTCTTCCTCCGCTTTGACGACGCTGGACTATTCGTCATCGACTATGGAGCCATCCTCGACTACTTTCCAGACCGTAACTATTTCTGATTGTTCCTGATAAAACTGTAAAACAGTTGGTAAGAAGCCATCGCCCTTCGGATTTACAGTCCATACCTCTCTGTGTATTGGGTCCATGGTAGGGTGGGGGCTGCAGCAACGTCAAGAAGAAATTTATCAATGTTGTAGTAGACTGATGCTGGTTCATGTTTAGAAATGAATTGATATTATGTTATGTTGTTTTAAATGGGAGTTGTTTAGTCTAGAGAACGCATTTTCCCTACCTTCCACATTTAACCTGGTTCAGGGCCTTTAGATCATCTCATATGGTTGATAGTGGCGTCAGTGATGGCTCAACTGAAGCATGTGTTAGTGGTGTTCTGGTTCTGATATATATACATGTAAATTTTGTTTTACAGATGTGTAGTTTATGAAAGTCCAGAGGGCGATTAATGCCCGCATCGTATCAATCTTCACCCGTCTTCAGACCTTTATAGACTATATACCACGAAATGATGATCGCGTGGCTCAGTGAGTCCCATGCCCGATTTTAACAATTAAATTCATTCAGCCATTGTCGGAACAGCCATGCCAGCCAAGGGATATTGGCCAAGTGATCAAATATACTATTAGTTTCTAAGTCGTGAAGCCACTCTTCCGCAGCAGCAGCACACTTTCAGCCCTAGCATTCCGGTTGCGTCCATTTAGAAGCCAACAGAAAAGGACATAAGTTACCACTTCGACTGTTACGAGGAGCCCCAAATCCGAAGGCGTGGTTCCTTGTTAGCGGGGCTTGAAAGATCATCTGGTAGCAGGATATCTCGACAATTAAACGGTTGATGCCTTCGCGACTAAATTTACCTGGCTGCAATCATGGTACGTATCTACGATATCAACACCTACTGGCTAAAAAGTCGCCTAAACAACATTGCTCCCTATCATCCGAGTCACAGAGACCCTCGGGTTCCTAGAAACTGATAGCTCTTTTCTAAGAATGAAAAGCGTTCATGACAGACACCATAGAAGTTCCGATTGAGGGTAAGATCACCAAAAGTCATCAGGGCACTTCAATTTCACTAGACACTTAGGTCATCTAATTCCTGATAGTTCCATGGTGGCGATTAGACACGATCAAGGAGTTTCTCGGTGTCTCGCAGAATTGATACGTCTTGTGCCACTTGACAGAGTTCTTCTACCTAAGTAAGCAAGAAATGGGATATGCGGAAAGCTACTCACAGATTGCCATCCTTTACCTTGGCCACTCTTCGCCTCGCTTGAACGTGGCACGACACCGACAATGCAGATTGTGTGCTTGGGGATCGCCTCGACTTGCGATTTTCGACCCAACAGATGCTCCCTGCATTGCCAGAAATCACTTTAGGTTTTATCCTCCAGCTGGTATCATAACTGACGATGAAGGAAATGGTGGTAGGGCAAAAGTCTCGAGCAGACATACCTGATTGCCTGCGAACAAGCAGCTACACAAACTCGCTGCTCCAGCGGCCGTGGCAGCATGCGCGTGCAGTATTGTTCTGAGGCTCTGCTCGAATTCTTGCATGAGTCGAGACAATGATGAGTTCATAGCCTTGGTTTTGGTAGTCTGAATCCGGCGGGGTACATCGAACAAAATTGAGACGCTGGGGCCTCGCTGGTGGCACCATCTGTAAACTTCCAATTAGTATCGATCCAGCTCGAGGCTCTGACTCAAATAGAAAGCTGGCTAAAAGGTTCTGGGGCCAACAAGTGGGTACAGATTCTCGTCACGCTAACTTGGATCGGTTCAATCAGACGGACCAGGCTGGTTGTAACATGTGCTGTTTGAAGACAGTCTCGAATTTTATTGGGCTGACAAGGAACATTCCTGTACAGGAAACTTTGCTTGTAATCTCGTGGTCTAGTAAGCTGGTGAAAAATGCAATGATTAGCTCGGCTCGGCTCGGCACAAAGGGTACTGCAGTCTTACTAAAGGGATACCTAGCCAGGACTTAGGGTCTGGCTGGCGAACATTAACAGAATGAAGTAAAGCGAACCAGCATGTCTGACAAGAGATGAGTAGGTCCAGTGGTCGGGATGTGCACCGTGCTTGTCAGCAATCTGAAGCACTTGAAGAGTTATAGGTGAAAAACTTATCATGGGTCTGCGGTAGGAGGACACCTCTAATCCCGAAGCGAGAAAACCCATTCGAAATGAGTATGTAGGAATAATACTACTTCTGACAGATATCAAAAAAAGTGACCGAATTTATAGTTTTCGACTTGCCTCGTGGTCACCTGTCTCACTTACCCCCTGCGTGGAGTTGTTAGACTATTGCCAATTTCGAGGGGCTTTGATGATACTTGCGCAAAGCAAGGTCTGTTGAGCTTCCTCTGACTGGAGTGACGGCCTAGTCAACAAAAAGCTACAGGCTGTTGAGCCAATCTACGCATTTTCCAAGAGCCATATCCTGTCAGCGGCTCCTCATGTCTATATCTGCTGTAACAGCGTTGATCAAGCTTCAACGTTGAACCAGCGACCACCACTTCAACAATTGTGACCCATGTGTAGTGGATCACCAGTTCACCGCGTCGAAACACGCTTTTAACTGCCATCAATTTGCTTTCAGTGTTGGTTACTGGTTGAAAACTGAGGTCGGTGAGCGTGTTGTTCTTTGAGCAGGTGTGTCAACGTGCACTCACTGACTTGTTGAGGTTGGTCGCGCGGTAGCCTAGCTACCATCCATGTAGATTCCTCCCTCGAGTGTAGCTGTGCCACATTGACTGTCAATATTGCAGAGATCGGGGACCGCATTGCTGCTCTGCTCGCCGTTTGGCAAGGCTTCTTTTCTCGAAGGTCAAGAAGGTATATTATTTGGTCACTGAACGCACAAACACGCTATGTGATATGTGTGCCTTTGTTCTGATAGCCTTGGCCTGGCCGCCCAGTCTCCGCTCAGCCCATCACTCGTGCTATGGATGGTTCATCATTCCCCGAGTATATGTAGCGATGATGGCGCGCGCCACTGTCTGTTGTGCTATGTACGGTCGTATGGCATGCGCAGCCTAGCCCCAGACTCTTAAGACCTGTGCTAGGAGCAACAACGCTCCTGGGACACTTCTTCTCGATCGCGATGCCATTTTTAAGGTTTCGGGGATCCATTTGTGGTCTCCTAGGACAGAGAAGCTGATTTCACGCGCATACCGAATTACGTTTCGGCAGCGGTCTTGATTGACTGTTGCAGTGCGCTAGACAGCTAAAAACACTATCTCCGTCCTTCATTCCGCAATGCAACTATGGTGGCTACTCTTGGGGGCAGAGTTTCTTGAGCCATTATATTAACATCACTTTGCAAGTATTCGACAGCTATTCTTTGATCGACATCATTTCCTGGTCCTTCTCATTCTCGGCTCCATTTTGGGCTTGGGACATAAGGTAGATAATAGTAATAGCAATGCGCGTCACTTCATCTTCGCCAATGTGATCCTGATGATCGAGAATGCTGAGGATATTCCTGAAAACTGGCATATACAAACAGAATTATCTAGGTATAAAGAGGGACTATGCTATCATTGTATCCATTACCAGTCTCCTCATTTCTGTTCCAGACGCTGTCCCCATCTACAGCCATCTCTACAATTGTCCAGCATCTTGCTCAAAGCATCATGTCCGTCAAAAGTGTACCAGCTCAAAAATTCAGCATGGACATGTACAACCATGACCTCCCTCCGAGTTTCGAGTACTGCCTATGTTGCACACCCTCGTCTACGACTGAAAAAGACAGTCTGGAGGTGGTTGATTGGCTGATGCAGCACGACCGTGTGCTCGCATCGTGCTCTCGCCGGGCCCCAAGTGCGCTCACCTTGGCCATCATACGGGGCAAGAGCTGCGTCGTCCTACACCTGATGAAGCGGTTTCCTGCATGCGTCAACGATCCAGATGGGAACAACCAACGACCAATTTTGGTGGCTATAGAATACCGACAGCACGAGATTTTGCAATCGCTCCTACGCGATCCACATACCAACGTGAACGTCACAGATAAGAGTGGGCATACTCTTCTCCACCTAGCCGTGATTTACGACGATGTGACCGCCGTCAAAATTCTGTTGGCGAACCAAAATGTCGACATCAATGCTCGAGACAGGAAGGGCGATACTGCACTTCTGCTGGCTGCCAAGATCTACGGGAGCGACCAGCCCAATAGCAGCCAGATACTCGATTCTCTGTTATCGCATAAAGACATTCGGCCCGAATGGCTTGACTGCGCCGGTCGCTCGGCGCTCTGGCACGCAGTGAACACCTGCAACTTTCAGCTGATTCGCCGTCTTGCGGAATTTCCGCGGATTCAGACCAACGTACCTGACCATCAAGGTGTCAGCCCGCTAGCTCGGGCTGTGATTCGCAGACGGCTTGACATTTTCAAATGGCTTCTTGCTACCTTTCCGCAAAATATTGCCCGGGGCTGACAGCCGTGTTATTGCAATCTCGGTGACAACAGTGGATCTCAATTCTGTAGCTTGCTGCAAAGCGTGCAAAACCACCAAAAACGGCGTCGCTGAAATTCTCCGCCCTCTATATCAAATAGCACACTTTTCACAATCCGGCTCGAAGTAACAATAAAGCTTTTCATTTTAAATAATCCGTGGTGAATATTCAACCTGTAGGTGCATTTCCGACGTGGCCCAGCGGAATTATGTGATGCTAAATCTTGATAAGTAAAAATGTGACATAGTTGAGAGTGTGATATTGAGAGTGTGATATTGAGCATAGGCAGCTTTTTTTTGTTGGGGAGGGGTTCGTGGTGGAGAGGGGCCTATCATCGAGCTCACATTCTGGGAATTGTGCAGCGGCAGATCAAAACCGGTTTCTTCGTCAGACGGTTGATGATAGACAGATGGTGTCCCTGGAATCAGGGCCGCAGCTATAAGGGCTGTAAGATGCCCCTTCGTGTCAGGGGAGGATTTTGCCAGCCGGTAAAAGCTCTTCCGGGAGACACGGGTTGCCTTTTGAGGGCGCACGTAGGTCGAATCCGACCGAAAACGCTTGCGGCTGGCAAACTTCATCGACTGCATCGGCTGCATCACT